TCCCTCTCTCCCTCTCCCTCTCCCCCTCCCCAGTGTGTGTGCACACATTACTGCACATTTACAAAAAGGAAAGAACGGGCCAGCAGGTGTGCGTGACTCACGCCGGGCACGCGTGTGTGCATGCCCAAAAGCCCAAGAGCAGGACGGAGGAGCAGGGACTGCGGTGTGGCCATCCCCCGGGGGGTTATTTTTCACTTTCTGTCTCTGCCCTGTAGCACGTGCTGTATAGCAAAACCTCTCCAAAAAATAAAAAAATAAAGATAAACTTTCTCTCTCTCTGGTGAGCACACGTGCCCTATAGCAGTTTTGTTTTTTTAACATTAAAAATAAATTAAATAAAACATTTAAAAAGGAGAACTGCAGGCAGCCCTGCAGCCCGGTGGTCGCGGGCAGCCAGGTCCCATACGCTGAGGGCAGTGACCCGGCTCTGGCGGTGTGGTGAGCACACGGGGAACACGTACATGCTGAAAGTCCTGGCAGGGCGGAGGAATGGAGGCGAGGGGACTGGGGCACGGCCACGCCCTGCGGGGGGGTTGCCCACCCCCCACCCCCACCCCCCCGCAAGCACACATGTCCGCTGGTCATCAAAAAGAAAAACGAGAAGAAATGAAGGTGCCATGTGCTAAGCCTGAGTGCCCCCTCTCGGGGAGGACAGGTCCCAGCCTCTACGCCGCCAAGGAGGCTCCTTACTGAGGGGGAGACTGAGCTACGGAAAGTGTGAGCCGCTCTCCCCAGGCCGCTCGGCAGGGCAGGGCAGCTTGGACCCCAGGGCAGGCACCTTCCCTGACCACCCCACCGCCTGTACTGAGCTGCACTGGGCGCGAGGTGGCCAGGCTGTACCCTCTGAGGCGCGGTCTCCCGCCAGTACACCCCAGCCAGCGTGCTGCCCCATGCCCCCCAGTCACGCCCCGTTCTGAGCCCCTGTCTGGCCCTCCCCAGAGCCCAGCCCGGGCGTACCTGATGAAGAAGGTGCAGAGGATGAAGACTATGAGCCCCACGATACTTGGGGCGTCCCACCACTGCGTCTCGTAGCCCTCGGGGACCGTCGCGTTAAGGTGGGTCAGCAGGTGGGGGTTGCATTTCTGATCTGGGGGTGGGAGCACAGTCACCCTCCGTCCCTGCAAGCCAAGCGGGGGCAGCCGGTAGCCCCGGGGCTGGGCAGAGCCAATCAAAAGGACAGACAGACAACCAGCCAGCAAGTCCCAGCCACGAACGGCACTTCGCAGGCAAAACGGCAGACACCACCTCAAAGCCAGTGGGCTCCCTCCACCCTGGGCCGGGGTGTCCCTGGCACCTGGGAGGGTCCTCAGCCCTTGGCAGGCCTGGAGCAGGACCGGGGCTCCTCGAGCCTGGCCCATACTCACCGGGGACATTGGACAGGGCCGACCAGGTGACGAACATGGTGTAGAGCGTGACGACAGAGGCCTGCAGCAGGCCCGAGTTGGGCTGGGCACCCTGCAAGAGCCGTTTGTGGGTCAGACCCCTAGTGGTCCTGGGGGTGCCCCTGCCAGCCCACTCACACCAGGGGGCCTCGGGAACCCCCTCTCCAGGACATGCTCCCCACCACCTTGGAAAGACACACAACCGGACTGCCACCACCAGAGGGGCGTCCTAATCCAACACCCTCCGGCCACATCCGGTCAGCGGCCTCCTCCCCTGCGGAAGCCCTAGTCTGAACAGAAGCCTCCCACCCTCAGACGAGGCCCGCCCCCGCCCAGCTCACTGCAGCCTCCGCTCCTCCTGCAGAGACAGCCGCCCGCTCCTACCTCGTGTGGGCACTGGCTGTCCCCGCCCAGGACACGTTCCTTCCCCGTACCCCAGCGGGGGGTCTTCGAGGAGGACTCCCAGCGAGGCCCTGAGCACTCCGGATGCAGAGCCCTGCCCTGCCAGCCACCTGCCCCCGAGCCACGCCGGTTCCCACAGGTTCCCACAGCTGTCATCGGAGGCGGCCTGACCTGCCCTGCCTCCTGTTGCTTGCCCGTCCCACCCCTCACCACACACGCTCTTGAGAACAGGAATCCAATCTCTGTGGTTAAGAACACAGGCTCTGGGGCCAGTCCACCTGGGTTCAAACCCCAGCTCCACCCCAAAACAGCCACATGGCTTTGGCTAGTCTCTGCTTCTCGAAGGGGCGGCTTCCTCATCTGTGAAGTGCGGATAAGGACGCTGTGAGAGCCAGGGGCAGACGGAGGCCACGACTGTTACTGTTGCTCTTACTCCTCCCTCCTCCTTTTCCTCGTGGCCAGCTCCACAGTTTCCAGAGGCCCTGGCCCACAGCAGGTTTTTTTTTAAAAGAATTATTTTATTTAACTTTATTTATTTTTATTATTGTTCTTGTTTTAAAAGAATTATTTTATTTAACTTTATTTATTTTTATTGTTGTTCTTGTTTTCCAGTTTGATCAGAGACACACAGAGAGAGAGAGAGAGAGAGGAAGCCGCCATGTGGTACTCCAGTCCCTTTAACCACCATGCCATTTGCCGGCGCCACAGCAGGCTCTTAAGAGGTATTTGCAGAATGAATGCTAAGGGCTGTGTGACCTGAGGTAGAGACGTCACCCTCTCTGGGCTTCATCCTTCTCCCTAGGAAAGGGAGGCTCTGACCAGAAGGAAGCTTCCCACCTTTCTGCTAAGTCCCCCAAACCTACCTATGCTACCTCTGAAAGCCCTGGAGTGCCGAGGTCGCAAGCTGTGAAGCACTGCTGGGCCACGAGGTGGCCTAGGGACACTTCTCGGAGCAGAGCGCTTGCTGCAGGAACCCCCCATCAGTCAGTCTGGGCTTGGAAACTGGAACCAGCTCACCTTCCAGCACCACTGCCTGCGCCCAGGAAGGACCACCTGCAACTCCCTAACGCCCTGCTTTGCGTAGAGACACCCAGGACAGCGGAGCCTACCGCAACAACCAACGTTTGGCTGGATGTTCGCGCCAGCCCCGCGCTCGGCACTGGCAGGAGGGCTCTCAACCCCAAGAGTGACGCCCAGGGAGGAGGTGTTCCTGCCCCCATTCGTGCTGGAGGAGAGGGGCACGTGCCCAGACACCCCGCATGTCGGTGTGGGCCAAGACCCCGGTGGCGGAGGTGACGGGCCAGCCCCAGGACCAGGCCCCTCGGAGAGGTCCCTCCCACTAAGGGTCTGGCCTAGGGCGAGAGACGGCAGCTCACCTGGACCTTGGGGAGGACAGCGACGATGGAGACGCAGACGCAGAGCGTGAGGTTGAGGCTGATGAAGGCCTTGCCCTCGTGGCAGGCGCCCGGCTGCGTGTAGAAGAGGAAGAGCAGCGCCACAGCCCCGATGGCCAGCGAGTAGAAGAGCAGCGTGAAGAAGAAGAGGCCTAGGCAG